AAGTGTTCGTTTCGGGAGAGCTTTGGAATGTTGGAGAACTGAGAAGAGGGAAGAATGCGCAGCAAGAAGATAAAGAGAAAAGTTGGCAACAAAGTAATGCTTGTGTGCTTACGCTTTTGGTCAACACTGTGGGGTTGCCCTGCCTCAATTTCTCCACATTCAGAATTGAAACGCTGGTGGGTTTGTGTCTTATCACAGCTGAGCCAAATCAAAATAGTCGCCAAGGATCTGATGGGATTAACGAAAGATAACCTGTTAAACTTGTGTTGGGATCTCGACCTAAGATTTGACCATGATATGCCTGCATCTAAACTTTGTGAAGTGATTCTCGAAAGCAAAAGTAACAAGGTGGATATCGAGAACTTCAGGAATATGTATTTAATGAAACAGGAACGTATAGATAATAAGAGAGAAGAAGAGAGAGAGAATATTAAAAGGAAACAGGAAGAGAACGTACAGAGGGCGCCTAGAAATAAAAAAAAACACAGGAAGATGATGCAAGCAATAAACGAGGAGATTGAAAGACTAGATCGCAAGTTAGATACAAAACAGCAGAGTGGTCAATTTGTAGAGTTAGCGCACAAGAAGTGCGAGGAACAATTCTGTGCGGTGAAATTTAATGCCGTAGCAAGGGCTAGCATTTGCGTTGGTAGCAGCAGGTTTACGAATAAACCAAGGTTCACAGCTCCAAAAGAAGCTGCATAAAAGGAGATGGTGACGAAGGCCATGGTAAATGTGGCTAGCTCTAGACTACCTCGCACATACACAAGGTTGTCCCGATGTCAAATCATGCCTGCAGAAACTGAGGAGATTTTTAACCGCTAGACCTGAGCACTAGCATTATTCTAGAAGAGTGTGAAGAAGCCGGACAGGGTAGAGTAGTTAGGGACGGCTCTCCGTTATATGAGCTTGGTTTACGTGAGATTATCGCAGCGGTGGATCCTGCATGCGGTGTCCAAGAGTATTTCAAACCGCTTGTCAGGAACACCGGAATGAATTCAGGAGATGAAGCGACAGTAGAAATTTGTGTGAGCACAATGGAGTTGTAGGCAGCTCCCAGGATTGTGAGAAATGTTTTTCGGAAGCAAACAGCCGCAGTGTTGCGAGATGCGTTAAGCTGTCTGCCCGTCTAAGAGAAGAAAAATTGTAAGTGATTTAGACTGTGCGGGCAAGACAGCTACCGAAATCAGCAAGAGTGCGCGCGAGGAGGAGATGCGAGTGGAAGGGACAGAAATGGGCCCCAAAAAGAAGTGTAGGCGGAAGGGAAGTGCCATCGTAAATCAAGGAGTGCGACAAAGAGCACGATTTAAGGAAGACACTGAGCATCATAACGTAGTGAGCCAAATGAGGCGTTAGACATCGGCACCGAAGTTGTTTCACACACGTACGAGCCACCGGACAAAAAGAAAAAGAAAAGTGCGTGAGCGAAAAATGCGAACAGACGGAAGGGGCGTAGCAAGCAGATAGGGGTATTTGTCATTCGTGCCGAAGTTGTTTTTCTTGCGTCCTAGCCGCCCGCCAAAAAAAGAAAAGAAAAGCTCGTTGGGTGAATATGCAAACATAAGGATGGGGACAGTCAGCCTTCCGTCGTTTTATCCACGGCGTATTTGATGGGGCACGGGACTGGAAGTTCTGTGGCTCGCTAAAGTAACTGAGCGAGAGGAAGAACCCAGGTTGCTAATGAGAAGCTTCCAGGGTTCGGACGCGAAACGAATGGGTTTTGCCGTTATCTCATCCCTCGTTCGCCAAAAAAGGACGACAGGACACGATGACCACACTTTCGTCTGAAAATTGAGCAACTGCCGTGAGCTTTTGAAAGAGGTCGCTAGCGGAACACAATATTTTTGTTAAGTAGGCTTTCAACAGAAGGAAAGTTCGCTTAACACTGCTTTGATTTTAAATGTCAAGTTGACTTGCGTTTAACTACTACTTTGGCTCACAGCCAAGAAAAAATCAGGAGAACACTCATTGACGCTTACTTTATAATGTTGGGGAAGCTTGGCGCATGCGTTAGTGCACCTTCGATAGCACTTACGGGTGAAAAAGTGGCATGTTCACAGAGACAAGTAAAATAGGGAAAAATAAGTGTTTGACAAAAGCACGTGTATTACAGCATAGACAGCACTGCGGTAAGCTGTTGCGTGGTTTGCTTGCTGCAGTGCTCACTTCCTTGTATGTTACTCCATTACCTTTTTTGGCTATTTGTTTCAATAAACTTCAGTTGTTAACTACACTTTCTATGCGTCAGTCTTACTTTCGTCGTCAACTTTGCAGCACCGCCTATTCCTTCAGTATGTTCCAACTCGGCCCCACACAAGCTTTTCTGTCGCTAGCGGATTTGTTCGTTTAGTTTGGTTCTGAAGCTTAAAGTTTGTTTGGATTTAAGATTATGTTCTTCTGCTTTCTCAGCTTCTAGATAATAGTTTCAGTAAGTAGTTTAGGTTTGGCATAATTCTTAAGTGTTGCGTTTTAAGGGTAAGCATTGTGCGGTTGCGCAACGTGACGAATCGGAGCGTGTGCAGAGGAGATACAAGTAGGTAAATAAGAGCGATATCAGAAGGTGATTATGCTTGGGCGCGGAGAAGCAAGCATATTCTCTGCGAGTTTTCTCAGAATGCGTGCAAGTTTTTTGTTATTTTAATGTTTTCTTCACATGTGTTCGGTGTGGATGCGGATGTCAGTATTGAATGAATTCGAACGTTAATGCATTTGTTTTATGAGAGTGAGAGTAGTAAACTTGAGAAAATCGTAATTAGTAGTTTATCCACTAAGGAGCACTATAACGTGCGTTTGCGGACCTGTAAGATGAATGTTCCTGGTGCAGGTGCATCACGACCGTTACCTCTTCATCGGCTCAAAGAAAAGTGACGACTAGCTTTGGCGACACAAAACTTTGGGGACCAAAATACAACGTGAATAGAAAGACTTTTGTTTATGAGTGTGAGACCTCGTAGAATTACAGCGGATTCCTGACGTTAGCACAGAGATATGCCACTGGGAGCGCATCACTTGGGAGTTATGTTTTGAAAGTAGTTTATTAAGAAGAGTATTCGCGAATAGGCAATGGAAGCTGCGGAAAAAGCACGGAGAAAATTTTTACGGCTGTTTGGCTTTGGTTATACTATTTCAAGAAGGTTGTATTCTTGGAACATTTTTGGACTCAATGTTTGTCAGAGCGGGCAGGGAGGGCGCTCTCCCGCGCATGTGGTTGCATGTATGAGTGCTTATTCCCAGTAGGAAAGCAACAGGATTGAGCAGGAGAGTTCCTGGCTAGACTTCATCGGCAGTGGCTTGGAAGACACCACCAAGCAACGGCGCTTCAGGCAACCTGTACGGCTGTTCACCTTCACGTTAGGTCTCTAGCCAGTGAACGAGCTGTTGCGACTGGTGCCAGGGCTGGCGTGAGAGTGGCGTTCTTTTGATCCACAAACAAGTCACCCGACGGCTGACGGCCTATATCTGTCATGCATTGTTCTTCCCAGCAGTGAATCTAGGTGCCGTGACGAGAGTTGCCGTAAGCCATTTCACGAGACAACGGCAAGCGTTTACGCGATAGCAACAATTTTGTAGAGAGAGAGTGGCGGTTAGCTGCAAATTGCCCCGCTAACTGAACGAGCTGTTCGGTGGACCTTTTTGAGCTTTGCAAGGGTTGCCCTTTTGGTGTATGCTGGCGTGAGCTTGGAACCCCTCATCCAGCGACACGCACACAAAAGCCGCGTTGTTTCCACATCGCATCGCAGTGACCACGCCTCAATAATGGACGTGTATTTCACCGTGTATGGACATCACCCTCGTAGGTTTTGTTTGAGCCGAGATTGGACAGTGCAGTATGCACCCGTTACCTGAACTTCAGATCCTTCATAACGAGTTACCCGTCTCATTCGGGAAGCTTGCCATGTAAGAAGGAGCTCGACATGTAGTGGTGAGCTCGCCATTCGCATAATGTAAATTAACCCTCTGTAAAGTTTGCCTTCCTCATGCCTCGACATCTTCATTCCAGATCTCCTGTGTCTGCAAAGGCCAGTCGCGACAAGGCTGACGATGATGATTAACACGTAGCCTCAGGATCAGCTATGGTCGCGATATGTTAAGGCCCTCAGCGAGAACTAATCTCAGAGGCCCCCGCTGATTATTCGAAAGCAGACTTAGTGCAGGCATTAAATTTTTAAATAGATTTAAACAGCTCGTGCCTTTAAAACATACCATCAAGAAACATTTCTCACACTTCTTTACATGGGGGCACTTTCGCACTCAGTAGAACGATGAACAAGGGAATGAACGTGCCTCTGGTTTAAAAACGCCGCCAAGCTTTGCCAACCGTCCTTCACGTGATGCCGCTTTCTATCTCAACCAATAAAACGCAGCGCCCTTAGGGATAAGTCTTACTTTTTCGCACTGTTCGCACACTTCAATGGGAATGTCTCCAGAGCTCGGAAAGATTCTGAGTTTTCGCGAAGCTCGGGTGACCCTGCATAGCGCCCATGATCAGAAGCCACGTCACATGTGGTCTTAACATCTTTTGTAGAAGTAAGTGTAGTATTGCTAAACTTGCGAAAGTTGTTGACCGCCATATGAGATTGCAGTAGGTCAAGTATGAGCAACACCAGTTCTAAAAATAAAGTTATCAATTAGGCACAGTCTGTCTGTACAGATTATTTATCTCTACAATGCTCTATACTTTTGGCATATTTCGTACAAAGTTTACAATCATACAAGTTCACGAGAGCGATATGTTAGGTTTATACCTGCGTGATTAGGCCAGCCAGTGAGTTTGAAGGTGTTGTAACAAACTACGCCAAAGGAATGCATGGTGACATGCCTCATTTACACGTGTATATCTTTTCGCCCAATTTATTCTTGATATTATATACTCACAAATTCACGTCTTTTCTCATCGCAGAGGTCGTAAGATAGCATTAGCTGGTCATAATATATAATAAATGCTGTACAACCAAATATTTTGCAAGGTTGAATGATAAACCACCGTTATCTTAACGCAGGATGCGGGCGGCACGGCTGGAGATCCCTGGTAGGCGAAGTGAGAGGCCTTCTTTCTTTTCACGTGACTCTTCATCTGGAGACACAAGCTCTCGGCCTCCAAACAATATCGAAGCAGACCCGCGAACTACTGGACCTGTGGCCTCGTCTTCATCGTCTTCATCAGGAGACAACTACGAAGACGAGTTGGAGTTCACTCGTGAGTTGGCGTCCAGTAAGCGGAAGTCTCTGGCCGGAAGCGGGTCTCGTCGAAACAGCCGTGTTACTTTCGGTGCTGCGGCGGCCATCTTGCAGGTTCCCGGCCTTCCCAGCCCACTGTCCGGCTCGCCCAAATCTGGGTCACCACATTCAGCTTCACCGCGTTCATGCTCACCTCGCTCAAGCCTGTACCCTCGCTCTGGCTCAGTTAGCTTCTACGCCGAGCCGAGCTTCATCCTGGACGTAGTGAATGACTACGACGATGACGCAGATGACGAGGACGACTTGGAGGCTACCGACTGTGGTGCGGATGCAAGGTAGCCGCGGCGAGGCGGCGCCGATACCACCGCCGCCTGCTTTGTGGTGCTGCCCCGTTCAGGGTCGTCTCGAATTGAAACTGCTTTTTCGTCCAGCAGCGGGATGCTGGAGACGCTGCTTTGACCATGCCTCCTAGGAACAGTGCAGCGTCTTGCAGTGCAAAAAAAAAGTGCTGTGCAAGCACGATTGGAGCAACGTTTGGGACACAGAAAAAAGGGGAAAGTGCGTGTAACGCTTTTAAGCGACAAGGTTTAGTAGTAATGCAGAGCCCAACAATGTTCGAGCATATTAATAAATGTTCGGCTAAACAACAACATACCCTAAATTTCAGGCTCGTGTTTTCTAGTTCCGCTTCCCTTTACCTTATGAACACTTCAACTTGAAGAAATTGGTGTTATGAGTCGACCTCGATGTCAAAGACATCGTACTTTTTATGGACTGCTTTCTTAATTCCTCTCTCAAAGCATTACGTAAATATAGCAGTCTTCTTTGTGTAGATGTTTCAAGAGAGATAGGATATGAGCAAGGAAGGGCGCTTAGCTAGCCTGATTCTAGGAAGGTTAATCAGGCTGCATCCCGTTTGCTACCCTACACGTGGTAGAAGAGAATAAGGAAGTATATAAAAAAGAGGGAACTGAATACACATTCGGCACCACACAAACAGTCAAGGTTTTCATAGGCTGTCTCTCAGCGACGTTGCCCTCAAGAGTTGTATGTGAGATCGTCTGGCTTTCGGGGCTGAAATTTCAATTATGAATAAATGTATTATACCGAAAAAATTATCTCCTCAATAATTAACCATCATTAAATGTATGTGGACAATCTGAAACAACTGTGGTTGTTATGGTTGATTTTTCAGTATGTTGGAACTGGCTGTTCAGTAATAAAGGGCAATATACGCGTTATTTTTTCAAAAAATTACACACAAATGCAAAACTGCTCAGTTGGTGTCGTCTGTCCCAGAGGCGGAATTCCTTTGAGAAGACGAATATAGCACTGTTGTAGCAAGAGCACCTACAGCACCTTAACTTAGTTGAGTGAGGGTAATGCAAGTACTCACTAGGTATCCGTGTCAAAGTTTTTTGAAACTTGAGCTTTGAAATTAGCAGCGGCTTATCTAAATCATGCAAGAACTTATATAGTAATGCGTGTATGCTTACTTGTGGAAACCGCTATTTCTTGTAATGGCGCGCTACCTTGTGCCTTCTACTATCGTTAACTTTCAGCAATAATAATAAAAGTTAGCTCATCGCGAAGCGTAATACAACCGCTATAAATCAAGTACAAATTCAGTAGTCTTGCCACTAAAAGTAATTGCTGCGATCACACAGATATTTATCAATGTACTCGAAAATTCTTTAGTGAATGTTACTTCTACACAGTTGATTCGTGGTTACGAAAGTATTATTTGCGTATTGAAAAACATTTGCTAACATGATGATTACCTCTGAATGAGGGTAAACACAAAAGGTGTTAAAGATTGCTAGGTAAGGAGATATTGTATATGGAGGAAAAAAATATTTCGAAGCGATAGTTCATGAGAAGGAACAGGCAATACAGTGATCTAAACAACGCCTTTATATGTGTTTTGTCTCAAACGGACAGGAGCCATTAACTGTGGAGTTTTACAGCAAGAAATACTGAGACACTGCTTTACAACACCTGTGCAGCAAAATAGACATCACAAAATAATTATTGAGATTCGTAGCGATTTCTCAAATTCAAAAGGCAGTCGCATGCAGTTATTCCTAAATGTAAGCAGCCACACAAAATGGAAAGTAACTGTGTGGTAGTCACTATAAAAGGCATGTACTTATGCAGCAGACTATATAAGCTTATCTAACAACGCCTTCCTGGAAAAAATCAGTTTATGGTTAACCACATCTTCCTAGTAAAATCAGTTGGTGGTTTTTCAAGATAAGATATATGCATGGTATAGTTCCAGTAGTGTTCTTTCTACTGATTGGAAATCACTGCTACAGCGTTTTCAATTTAAGTAGTTGTTTTACACAGCCATCTAAGTCTCCTCGGTGAAAGCGAGTAACTGTGGGTTTATAGCATTTCATGAGTATTGTGCTTCTTCATTTACATTGTAGTGGTATAGTTTGCGTTCCACATAAGATGTTACCATCAGTGTTGTTGTTGGTTTATTAGTTTGATTATGAAGTTTTAGAATTTCGGCATGCGTGTGCATATGTGGTCTCATGGCAGTCCACCATGGTAATTGAGTGCATACTGTACCATTCCCACGCAATTAGTACTCATAATTTGTTACTATGTGTTGTGTGTGCTAGACAAAACCTTTAGAGGACTGATTTTTACCTCGATAATATCATTCAATTCCCGCTCTCCTTAATGCTCAAAACGTATGCCTATTATCATTTGAATGGTGATAGCATTGCTAAGTTCAGGCGAACGAGCATAGGTTATTTTACTATAAGCACTCGATCGCACGTTTTGAGTAGTGAAATTATTCATCAAAAATTGATATAATAGTGCTCACAATATTACCTGTACCTGGCTTCTAAAAAATGCATTACATGTTTTACATAGGCTATTTTGAGAAATTACTTCCTAGAAAACCCAGGCACCCAGAGTATTGTCAGCTATGATGCCTGATACTTAATAAAAAATTATGTGGTTGTAGAAGTATTGAATTTCACTTGATTACCCTGCTCGTGTAAATGACGTTTTTAGGGTGATTGTACAGCCGTAATAATTAATAGGTGCCCGAATACAGATGTGCCTTTCCATAAACATTTCTCTTTCATCCTTCCAGCCCTCGTACTTTAGAGTTGTATTTCCTATGTGCTACTAAAAACAAAACAGCAAAAAACAAGCAACCGTTCCTGTTTGTGAACTTGATCAGTGTACATAATCATTCAGTCATTGTAGTTATTTCTGTACCGTGAGCAATGAAGTGAAATACAATAAAAAACAAGAAAGGGCCAATTACTGCGAAAGAACCACATCAATCACTGTTTATTTGGTGACTGCTTCAAGGAATAAAATATTGTGTCATCTAAACATACATGAAGCTGCTTCATAAATACTTGCCCAATGCTTTTGAAAAGTACCGAAGGAACTATTCTAAGATTGAGATAAGCTTTAGAAGCTTGATAATATAACTCTTTAAATCACAATGAAATAGATTAGGTAATGACAGTTATTTTTAGAGAAATGTGTTAATTTGACAATGCACATTATTCTCAAGCTGTATTTGGTTTAATAATAACTTGACCTAGAACAACAAAAGTGCCATAATAAAGCTTGCCAAAGTCTGTCCGAGTACATTCTTGTGAGTTTGAATGAATTGAAACCCTAGGAATACTGTTTGCTAGTTTTCTTGATGCTTAAATTTATACGCATGAAGAATTCTTACCTGTGGAGTATTCTTACAAAGTTCCTATTTCATTCTGTTCTTAGGACAAGCACGTTTCCCGTTGACAATGGTTTTTGGTAGCGGTGCAACATTCTAGAGGTGCTCTTTCAGACACTTATCAAAATCGGATATGTTATAAAAGATTCGTGGTCACTTAGAAAAGCGCCACTCATCACAATCAGAAAAAAGGAGCGTAGTTCACACTGCCGTGCAAGGATGAGGCAGTGCAGATCTGTTCACTTTGCTTTCCCCCCCTAAACCGTGTCGTTCCCATTACTTGCTACATTACCTTAGTTTACACACTGCTAAGTTTGCTCTCTTTTTAAAAGGGTCACGACATGGTCAGCCAACAATTACTGCTTTTGAGCGAAAAACAATAGGCAGAGGGTCTTTTTTATTTATGAAGGTCTTAAAAGTAGGCCGTCAAAGTATGTTTCAGCAAAAAACAAGCCCTAGAAGCCAGTTTCAGTTTCGGTTTATTTTCAACATCAAGATACGACGTGTCTTGATGTTGTGGGCAGTGCGCAAGTCTCGATGTGCCCACAACATCACGACTTGTGCACTGTCCACAAGGTCAGGGCACAAAAAGTCTCTGAAAAGAGCCTAAAAGCGTCCACTGCATTCGATACACAGTAAAGCGATGAAATCTAAGAATTCACGTAGCAAGCAACATAAAACAGTACAGCAGTGCAAGTAAACCAAAAAGTAACACTATAAATAAGGATGGCGATATTCTCCATAAAACATATTACAATATTCTTACAAAAGTTCAAGTTTGGTCATCCTACAATACGTGTTGAAAGAAGTAAATCACCTAAATAAAAGATAGACGCTAAGATTTATGCGCGAAATTGTGCAGCTAGAACAATCTCTGGGAAAAAAGAAAACAGAAAGAAAAGCAACAATATAATCATAAAGCGAGAAAACTGAAAACCTATAAGATGGCCACGCTACAAAATTTATCTATTCAGAAGACGTAGTGACCGTATGCTTAATCTATGTTCCCCATAAGTAGTTTTGTGGCATGGAACTTTCTGAATTTCTCGAAATGTGATGTCCTGTGAATGTACGTTAGGTGACAAGGATGCGATACTTTTGAAGCAATTGATATTTCTGTCTGAGCCGTAATTCTTGTTGTTTACTGAGGATGCGTTCTTATAGGTCCGAAGATCCTTATATGCTCACACTCCGTCGTCGCCATCGTAGCGCCGGGAAGCACGCCAAGCAAAACATCATGAACGCTCTCCCGGCGATCGCAGGCGCGGCGGCAAATGGCTCGCACTGGGCCGCGCGTGTTGCACACTCACTCGCTCAGTCGTTCCCACTACCGAGTGCAGCAAGTGCTGTCCTCACCCTACCGGCTTCATGAGAGCCAGCAGCGAGATCAGACGCATAATCGTTTGCGTCCGTATTTCAAGAATCTTTCCTCATCGCTTGTATTTGTTCATTGAATAACTCCTGGTTTCTTTTCTCTTTCGCATTCTCTCTGTCTATCACTGACTGAGTGCGTGCCAGTTCATAGTGATGATCATTTTCTAAGAGTGAAACACGGCCAAAATAATAACTTGGGTTAACGTTCAAACTACGATATTTCATAGCGAAATCTCGTAGTGGAGGGCTCCGAGAATTTTGATAATCCGGGGTTCTTTAACTTGCAATTAAATCTAAGTACCTGGGCCTTAAACTTTTGCGCTTTCATCGAAAATGCAGCCGCCACAGCTGGAATTTGATACTGCGACTTTCGGGTTAGCAGTCCAGTGAATATATTATACACTACCGCGGCGGGCAGGGAAACACGGCAAAGCTCCATCATAACTTCCCTGCGGTAACATGCATGCCCCAATAATATAGTTGCTGTAGCATTCACAATAAAAAAGGGGGTATTTCACATATAAAGCATGGCCATTTTGCAATATTACAGCATTTCTTCTGCGGA